GCACACATATGGCCTGTACACGCAAAGACACACTGCACATGCGCACACACACAACTAGACATTTTAAGACAAGCCTAAAGGAAATGAATGTGATGAAGACATCCATGCCCAATGCAAATGGCGCAGAAGGCGGAAGAGAAGTCTGTGGTCACGTGGCGGCGCTCCATGCCCCTGAGTCAACCAGCGAGCCTTCACGCCAGAGGGAGACGAATGTCTCCACGCATCAGCTGGCAGGTGGGCTGGGTGGGAGAAGCTTAGATACACATTGCCGTCAAGCTGAAGCTTTTCTCTCGCACTGTCTTCTGCCAAGCAGCTGTGAGCACCTTGAACCCCCGTGAGTCAGAAACCTCCGGCTGCTGGAAACCATAAATTTCTTTCTTTCTTTCTTTTCTTTTCTTTTTTTTTTTTTTTTTTTTTTTTTTTTACAGGGCCTCCAGAAGATGAAGTGAAGTCACAGGGATACCTGGCACATGGTATTAGATAAATGTCACGTTTTATTACTGCAAACATTATTTACTGCGATTTCATTTAAAACACTTTCTTGTCCGGACAATAGAATATTATTGCTGCTAAAAAGAAATTGGCTGTTGAGCTGTGAAAAGAGATGGATGGAAATTACTTAAATGCAGATGGCTAGGTACAGTGAGCCAGCCTGAAAAGAAGACTTGCACCCTGTATTGTAGCAACTGCATGGGATTCTGGGAAAGGCAGATCCATGGAAGCATTTAAAAACTCTAGTGCATGGGGGAGGGGGTTAAGCCAGTGGGACTATCCCATTTGATGCTATGACACAAGGCATTATACATTTAATGCTATGACACAAGGCATCATACATTTGGTACTGTGATACAAGGCATCATACATCTGACCAGATCAACAAGGAACACTAGTGCAAACTGTGACTGCAAAAGCTTACAGCACCTCACATGGGTTCACCAAGTACTAGAAATGTGAGGAGCCAACACAGGGAGGGCGAAGCAGGTCAGAGCTGCCGCTGCCTTGCAGAAGACCGCAGTGTGGCCCAGCACCCACCGCAGGTGGCTCACAAGTGCCTGGAAGCCCAGCTTCGGGGGTTCCTATGCCCTCTCTGGCCTCTGAGAGCATTTGCAATCGCATGTACACACTGACACGGACAGACACCTTCACACATAATTTAAAAATAACAAAAGTAAGATTCTCTTGTCGCAGTAGGTGAATGAGGGCCTAGCGGGAAGCGTTGACACTGGGTCTGCAGTAGGGGATACGCCAACTCTCCTAACTTTCTGAGGATGAACAACTGCACTTACAGGTCTGCAACTTGGAAGACTTCTAGCAAAGAAAGCGAAACCTAGGCCCGGACGCTATTACCGGAGAAAACAAGCAGAAAGCCCTCCTCAGAGGGCTCATGTTTAAGGAAGGGCTACTCTCAAGCACCCGTCTTTCTCGGAGCATCAACAGCCCCTTTTCAGATCGGTGTGTGCACAAGGGCGAATCCAGACCAGCAACCCCCACCCCGCACCATTTTCTCCCGTGTGTTAGCTGTCACCCTCCCCAGGTCCTGCCCAGCCGTTCCCTTCACTCCTCAGCTCACCTAACGGGCAGGAGCAGCCACTGAAGTCCAAGCGTCCCAGGCTCCGAGGCCCTGGGGGACAGCTAGCTGCAGCCTGCTGTCCCTCCTCTACGAAGTGGCTGTAGGACCAGGGTATCTCGCTCTCACCTTGGTAACTCAACACGGGGTGGGTGTTTCCATCATTTCCTTCATCGCTGCTCATGAATGCCAGCCTCTCCATCCATCCCCACTGCGGGGTTCTGGGGCCTCTTCCTGCTCCCTCCCAGACAGCTCTCTTCTTGCAATGTTCCCCTCAGACTCTTTTCTGGCAAAATGTTATTCTATGTAACAAGGCATAGTGTGATAGTTGGCTTTTCTTTGGGGTGGGGAAAAACCCTGATATTCTGAGGTAACACCCCACCAACAGGCTTCTAGCTGCTCAAAACCCTGATATTCTGAGGTAACACCTCACCAACAGGCTTCTAGCTGCTCATTACGGAGGCCCTCCCACCTGTGACCACCTCGAACTGTGTTACTCTTCAGGGGGGACTCCGTGCTCGCGTTGTCTGTTCTAAGTCCATGCTTCGTTACTAAATGCATGTCCATCATGGGTCCCAAGCCCTAGGCCAGTGCTGTACCTACTGTGGAAGCCCACACCGTCTTTCCTGGATGCAACTCTAAAAGCACACACTAATAGCCACCCAGGACCTATGCTGAAAAACTAATTACATCAGTATTTCTAATCCGGACATGCTACAGATTTGACATCCGTGACGGAGAAGATCCAATAGAAACTGAACGTTTCCTCATATTTTGAAGGATTGATGACTAATGAAAAAACTTTCATCCTCCAGTTCATATATTTTGACTCATTGGAAAATATGCAGGGTTCCTGCGGGAACCACTGAAAGACTCTGTCAATAAAGGCAGGATCCTGGAAAGGATCAGCCACCCCGTGAGCACGTCCTTCCCCAGCGATGCAGCTTTCCACCGTTACATTCGATTCATATCACGCATTTTAGATGGTGTGTGGGCTATGGCGACCCAGCATAACTTTGTCATCTGTGCGGAGTCCTAGCACTTGGCCCGCACGTCCAAGAAGCTCACCCCAGTGCCCCCTTCAAGCCCCTGTCACTCCCACGATGTAGCTCACAGTTAGCTCTGGCTCCGACTGAAACCTCCTGTGTACACAAACCCTCTCAGTGTTCCCCTGGCCCTTCCTGGTGAGCATGGCCTGCCTCCTGGCTAGCTTTCCACAGAGGGCACCGGAAGGAAGCTCTGTGCTGTCAAAAGCACAGAGGGAGAGGAGGCTGTCCTCTGCTTTCGGAGGGAACGCCCTCTCCACTCTGCATCCCACCCTACCTGAGTGGGAAGAAGCATTCCCGAGATGCAGCGAGGCTTGGGAAGCCTAGAGCAACCACAGCCACGCCGTCCCCTAAAGAACAGGAAGAGGCCAGAAGAGAGCTTGCACCCCCCCCCCAAAAAAAAAAGCAGGACAGAGCGAAAACACTGCAGACTTGAGTTACTAGGCCATGTCAACTTTCTTGCAAGATCTTCCAGAGTTTTCAAGTTGCCAGAGGGAGTTGGAATCTCTTAAAAAAAAAAAAAAAAAAGGGAAGGGAGGTGGCTCTAAATTCTTCATTAAATCCGGTTAGAAGCACACAATTTCATCTTTACTAGATATTAGTCATAGCTGCGCCTTTACGGGCACAGTAAAAAAAAAAAAAAAAAAAAAAAATCTACTTGCCTAAAGGACGGGGAGAAAAGTAAAATAAAATGCTCCTCTCCTCCAGTTGGAAAGGGGAACTTCAAACTAACATTGGTCCGCCTTCTCTTTCCTCAGAAGTCCAGTCAGACGCAAGCCTGAGGATGTCAGCCGCGGGCGGAGGATGCCCGGAGCCCCGTGCCGACGCTTATTTTTCAGAAGGAAAATTAAACAAAAATACAGACGGGAAATGAAGAGAAGGGCCTGCTTCACTGAGTCAGGGACCTCGTGAGGGTTTTGATCTAATTGACCCTGTGGGGTTGCATGCCCAAATACTGCGCCTCTGGGGCTGGTCCGGTTTGCTCTGGAGAGAAAAAAAAATCCAGGCCCTGGAGCCCCATGATCCAGGACTGAAGCTCAGGAGACCCCTCCTGGACACACACACACACACACACACACACACACACACACACACACACACACACACACACACACACACAGAGTCAGGACCACTTGCTAGAACCTGAGATGTGGAGGGCCGCCGGGGCAGGGCGCTGCTCCAGGAAGCCAGCACCCGCGGCCAGGGAGCAGGCGACCTTCGTGCGCCTGGCGCGGGGAAGGTGACTGCCCTCTTGGGGCCGGCCTAGCCTGGTGCCAGCCCGTAGCGATCCACGCCGCGGACGGAGGGGGGCTGTGGGCGCGGGTGAAACTCGCCACCATCGCCCCCTCGCGCTCGGAACCGCTCGGCGTGCCCAGCGGCAGCCGCTGGCTCCCGGGCCGCGTGTGCCCCTCTGCCTCGGCTAGGGGCTCGGGGAGAGCCTGCCCGTGGCCCAGAGCGCGCCGCGCTCGGCGGCGTCTCTCTTTCTTGGATTCTCGCCTGTCTCCTCCCACAGGAGGAAAAAAAAAAGGTCACGTATGTTTGGAAAAATATGTAGGTCAGTGGAACATTTCCTGCGCTGGTGCAAACGGAGACGGGGCCGTGGGGGCGGGGAGGCCCGGCGGCCTGCAGGGCGCCTCCTGGCCGCAGCCCCCGGCCCGCGGGCCCGGGCGAGCCAGGGCGCAAGTAGCGGGCCCCTGCCAAGCCTTGACCCATTTTCCGGACGGGCCGCGCTCGCCTCGGAGGAGGCGCCGGGCACTCCTCCCTAGCAACCGCTGCTGTCCTCCGCGAACAGCGTCCTCCGTGTGCCCCCCGACCCCCTTCTCACCTGCTGTCCCCTCGCCCACCCGCGTCCGCAGTGACCCGAGTCACGGGAGGGCAGGGGGAGAGGCGGTCCAGCAGACCCCGCCGCGTCCCGGGACAGCCGCGCGGCAGCGGGCGCCGCGATGGTTCCCCGTGCCCGGGGCGCAGGAATCTCCGCTCCCCCTCCAGCGACAACTTCAGCGGGACCCCGGCCGGCAGCCCCGCCGCGTGGAGCTCGCCTGCCCCCTCCCCGGTTCCACGCCAAGCACGACCCCCGCCCCCCCCCCACGCTCAGTCGCGACCCAGGCTGGCCGGACCCCCACCTCCATCTCCCCCGGGCTCGGAGGGGACGCGCGGGTGTGTGCGCCGCCGAGGGGGACCCCGGGGGTCGCAGGGTCCGCGTCCCTGCGGCGAGCGCCCGCGCTGGGGTCGGGCCAGGGTGGGGGGAGCCGGCGGCCCCGGGAGCGGGGAGGCTCGGGAGGAAGAGGAGGAGGAGGAGAAGGAGGAGGAGGAGGAGGAGGAAGAGCAGCGGGAGGAGGAGGAGAGGGAGGAGGGGAGGAGGCGGCGGCGGGGCGGGGAGGCGGCGGCCGCGGTCCCCGGCTCTGCGCGCCCAGGAGTTGGCGGCGCGAGCGGCGGGCTCTCCCCACAGGACCCGAGGGACCCACGCAGTGGCCCCCCGCGGAGCCCCGCGCCCCCGGCGGCCGCGGCGACAGCAGCGCCTCCCGCCGCCGCGCGGGAGAAGCTCCGCGAGCCCGCCGTGCCGCCCCCGGCTCCCAGCGGCGGCGGGAGGCGCGTCGCCCCGGCCCAGTCGGTGCCCGGCCTGGCGGGGCCGCCCCGGCCGGCTCGGAGGTAAGAGGAGGCCACCGCGCCCGGGGACGCGCCATCTCGGGTGGGGGTCCGTGCGCAAGGCTCGCGGCTCCGGTCACCTGCTCGCCGGCGCTGGGGACGCGCGGGGCAGGCGGGGAGGGACGCTCGGGCGCGACACCGCGCGGGGCTGCGCGGCGCGGGCACCGCGGGTGGGGGCGCAGGGAGGGGAGCCCTGCGCGCTCCGGGTCCCGCCGCCCCGGGCATCCAGTCCTGCGGACCGCTGCGGCCCCCGGAGCGGCTCGCCAGGGGAGAGGGCTAGGCACCCCGGACCTCGGGATTTGGGGGTCCTCGGAGGGCACCAGAGGGCACTGTGTGCCCGGGCAGAAGCTCTGAAGATTGCCCGCTGCCCTTCTAGAGTCCCCACCGCGTGCAGCCAGAGCGTAGGAGCCCGGGACGCCTGGAGAGCGTGGCTATGGGGCCGGGGCCCTGGTGTCACTGCGTCCCCGGGTCCAGATCGCCTTAGGGCCGGCTTGAAAGCCGGGTCTTTGTGCTCAGCGCCAGACTCCCGGGACTCCGGGGTGGGATGCCGGAGACTGTGCCCCCTCCGCAAGTAGAGGAGGGGTGCACCCGCAGACTTTACTAAAAAGCCGCTCGGGGTGGGGACCAGGGGACAGGGGCAGGTACCGCGGGTCTCAGTTCAAAGCCAGCCTCTCCCCTCTGCCAGCCTCTCCTTAACTGCTTAAGGTAAGAAAGTTTGTTTTCGGCTCTGTGTTTCATAAATAATTAGTAACCGGTTTTGTCGACGAAGCAAGATGGAAACCTTAAGTAAACACGCGGAGCATTCCCACTAACTCTGAAAGCTCCCAAGGTTAAATCCGGGAGTCTTTAGCTCCTGAAGTTCCAAGCTGTAGCGCTTCAACAGGTGTTGCAAGGGTCCTCGAGGGCCCAGCCTGGTGTGTGTCTTCCCGACAGACAGATCGCGGAGGGGTCCGCCCCGAGTTCGTGGTTAGCCGCTTCCTTACAGGTGAATATTGAGTAGTTATTAACAGAGTCGCTGGAGACAGCTAGTCTGTCTCGATCGCTAGAACTCAATTATCCTTAATAGGGTTTTCTTTAATAGGAGGGATTTCCCATTTGGACTTTGCAGGTAGTTAGTCCTGAAGCAGTTCCTGGCAGGACTCGGCTCTGTCAACACCTGTGTGTCTCCCACAGTGATGTCCCCATCTAGCGAACTGGCCCAGCTAATTACTGCTTGCGTGGAAAACAGAGCTAGTAGCCCTGGAAGGCACCCTTCAGACTCAAGAGCAAATACTGGCTTGATCCTCCTTCCTGCTACTAAAATTTCCCTGAAGGGAAACGTTGCCACAAATATCGTCAATTAAAAAAAAAAAACTCTAAATAAATATCATCATGTTTTAAAAAGAGATATTGCGATCTGGACCACTGTTTTACAAAGCGACGATTTTCGTTACAGGCAAATATAAAGCAGTGGAAGTATTGGCATTTCCCAGCAGTCTACTTACAGATTTAGTTAAAAATAAAGTGTGGAGCATGAACGCGTTCAGTAATTATCCTCTGTCTCAGAGAGACTCGGAGTGTGGCTTAGAAGAATTGTAAATGTGCTTTTTGCCATTTTCCCTCAGAAATCCATACCTCTATTTATTCACTGATCGTCCGTCCCACTGTGCAGCTGGAGACATGGTTTTCTTCTTGCTGCTTCCCAGAGTGACTTCTCGGGGAGCAGGACAGGATCTGCTCTAGAGAAAGTACATTATTAATAACATGTCACACACACCCCCCCCCCCCGGGAGTTAAGCATTCACAAAGAATGGTGTGAGGCACTCACAATCAGGGTGCTGGGAAGAAAGCCCCTGCTGTGAAGGAGGCTCAGCGGTTACTCAGGAAGTGACCTTTATATGGAAAACAGTTGTAAGTGTAAGTTGCTGAAAGCTCGCTTAGCTGTTTGTAACAGCATCGGTCCCTGCTTGGTATTTCTAGAGGCTTCAAAATGAAACTGTAGAAACAATGAAAACAGAAAAAAAGATTGATGGATGTGTCGTCAGTTTAAATCATCTTTTTGGATCATCTTTCTTAGGTTTTGGCAACCTATAAAAGCAGCTACTTCTCAAGCATGGTAGTCAATGGCACTGAATCTCTTCAGGTTAAACTGAGACATAGGTTTCTCTGTCTTTATACGATTTTTTTTTTGTCCCAGAATTCCGCCTATAAATAAATCTTCAGAAGCCAAAGGGCTAAATCTTTGTGAATTTTTAAACAAGAACACGTGTGCTTTTCCTGATGGGAATGGCCACCTGTGGGCTTCCATTGGCCATTCCGTGCTGCTAGCCTGCACACTGCAGCCTCTTCTTCAGCAGAGGTCAAACTGCGAGGGGTTGAAAATAGCCTAGTGAGTCAGTATTCTTGGCTGCTTTATGCTAACAGCTTAATTGGCTTCATCATAGCAAGCATCTAATCGAGTTTCACATTTAAGTAGTGAAAATGGTATTTGAAGCCTTATTGGCTTACAGGAATGTTTGATTAGCATTTTTCCCCATCCTCATTCTATTTGTAGCAAAGACAGGAGATTGGGGACTGTCACATTCATAGCTCCTCTTCTCATCTCTATGAGGCCTGTTCACAGTAGATGCTCAATAAATAGGTGTGGGAAATAAGCCAAATTGTCGGTAATCGCTCTCCAAAGGTTAGAGATTTCTGAATGCTAATGGAGTGCTTAACTATGAGTAATGCTGTGTTAAGTCAGATGGTGATTAATAATACCTAAGCCCACGGGGAAATGTGTATTGAACACAAGCAGGTGAAGGAGAAATTTTCCACACTGTCTTTAGCTAGAGCCTCGTTGTGTCTCACTTGAACTTCTTAGTTTAGGGGCAACGGGCTATGTTAGGCAGTGGTTTCTTAGATGAATTTCCCCTAGAGGCCACTTGCATGTCTGCAGGTCAGGACGTCTGTTTCCACTTGATGATTCAGAACAGGAACGAGAGTTTCTCTTTTATTCTGGTGCGAAATAAACAGCGTGTATGAAGAGATGGAAGGAGTGGGGTGTCAGAAGACAGTGAGTCACTGGGGTGGGGTGCGGGGTTGTTAGATGTGAGTTCTGGTTCCGAAGCTCCAGAACAGCCGGCAGCTCGCCGGGCTCGGCGCAAGCAGCCTCTGAGATGCACTTATCCTGTGCACAGTTGGTCAGCGCGTGCTTACAGAGTGTGTGCTAGCTAATGGGACAGACGCTAAAGCACACAGAAGGTGCCTACATCCAGCAGCTGAGAGGTGAGGAAGAGAGAACCCGGATTCTTTTTCACTAGAGTGAGGTCCTGGTGCGCCTCTCTGCAGGGTGCTGGACCAGAAGAAGCCTTAAGGGGGGGTTCCTGGGAGGGCTTCCTCATAGCTGACCTTGTGCTGTTGTGTGAAAGGAGGAGCATGTTGTGACTTGACAGGAAATAAGACATGGAATCTGGGGTAGCCTCCTTCTCACCCAAGGGCAACTTTTTAAGCTTTTATAAGCCCAAATATTCTCGTCAGAAAATAGTGGAAATGATCATTGTCGTGGAGGTCTCTGGGATTACCAGTGAAGGGTGTGGGTAAGGCCTGGCAAACGAGATTGCTTTGATTGTCATTTCTGCTCCTGCGAGTTATCGTTCACCCACATTCCTGTAAGGACCCCAATATTACTCCTTGGTTCGCCACTCTGGGTTTGGGTGATGTCAGTATGAGCCCACGTCCAGGGAGAGCAGGTGTGTCTGTCAGGCTTCCCGAGAAAAGCCCGGATTTACGCACAATAGTGAGTATGTATTAAAAGATGGAGAGCATTTAAAATTTTATTTTTCCATTTATTAAAACATATAATGTCCATCTTGGAAAAGACAGAAAATAATGAGGTAAACGAGAATACACATTTTTTCCAGGATATTTTTTTCATTCCAGTCTCTTTTCTAGAGCTTAAAGTGTTTACCATAGACCTGCGGCTCACAGGTCTAGGATCCTTTCTGTCATTGCTGTGACCAACAATGAGAGACAAATGCGAAGTCATTGTGCCTCAGTTTGAGGTAATACTGTGCGCCTAGATCCCTTCACAGTGGTTGGCTCCACGTGAGCAATGCGATTGGCCCCTGCGCTTGCCAACAACGTGAGCTCAGAGGCTTCTGGGAAATTTTCCTGGGAGAGGTAAGGATTCTCCCACGTGATCTTGTGTGAGTGGACGGGAGTGTCAGTGGGCTGAGCACCAGGAGCCGCTGGGTGGGTGGGGCTGGAAGGTAAAAGATGGGGTCTCGGAGGAGGAGTTTCCGCCAGAAGGTCCGCTATGCGCAGCAGGCCGCTGAGGTTTCCTCTGCCTTGTAGCTGAGTGCTGGACTCTCCCACCCGTGTCAAGGGAGAACTCCTCTTGACCATGGGGCCTTGGTACATTTACACACGTGGGCACATATTTTAGAACATTATTGCACTTTTTAAAAAGCAACTGTGTGGCCCACAGAGCTTCACTTTGTAAGACGTCTTCACTTACACCCACCTTGAGGACCACAGAACATCAGTTAATGTGGCCCAAAACATGCTTTCCTCAGCCTGTCTTCACTGATCAACATTGACTGTGTTCCTCCCATTTCACGTTTTCATTTACCTTCTTACTCTGTATCATTTCACCTATATTTCATGTTTTGTGGCTCATGAATTCTTAGGAAAGGCTTCCTAAGTAAGAGGTGCATCTGTTTGGAACCTTTGGTAGCTACTGTCCAGTTGATGACAGTGGCACCATGCTGGCCCTCCATCAAGGCATCTTCACTACGCGGTATTACACGACCTCCACACCTCCTCTGTGCACGGAACTTAGTTCCACCTGTGACTGGTTGAATGCACTAAGGCAAACTGGCGGGTGGGCATGTGGAGGGGATGCTTGGCAAGTGTTTCCCTCATAAGGCACAAACGGAAGGCTTAGACACCCAGGCCCGCTGTGAAAAGTAAGTAGATGTGATTACCCTTTTGGTAATACTGGGAGGTTCCTAGAAAACGATTCCAGGAGATCTCTAGTGATC